GTAACAATTTTATGTGAAATTTTATATGATTTTATATGATTTTAACAATAAGCTTGTGTAAACGACGGAAAATAAAAGTATTGTATTGAAACACAAGCATGATGCAATTGAGATATAAGCAATACTGATTAAGGTTACAATATTTTAAAACAGGTGCTGAGAAGAATATTGCAATTAGAGAGGGTTAAAGTGACAATAGGATAGAGAAAATTACTTAATAAGGAGTTTCATAATTTACACTCACCAAGTATTGTTAGGGTATTCAATCAACATGTATGAGCTTAGTGGGGAATGTAGCATGCATTGGAGAATTGATAAAAACAATACAAAAGATTAGTCAGAAAACCAGGAGCGAAGAGTCCACTCAGGAGACATGAGTGTAGACTGAATAATAAAGGACTCTGCTGTGTGCAGTTAACTATATTCATAATGTTTACGGAACTGTAATTTTTTTGGATGATGAGCAGGTCATATTGACCTTGTTGTTACTTCTGTTGTAGGTACGAGAATCCTACTTAAGTCTGTTGGTTGAGAATCTGAAGAAAAACTATGAACGGTGTCACATGGTAGATCCTTCTCAGCATTCTCTTTCCACCGCTGATATAGAAATATGTGCCATTGACATGGAGTATGAAGCTTTTACATCCAACAAGGTAGCAAGTTTATACCGAAGAGTGATAGTGAAATTGGTGAGTTGCATACAAAGTGTGAAATACCTTTTGATTTAGCTCTGGTATTAAGTTTTGGTGTTTTACTTTCTTGGTTATCATTGCAGTCTTAACTTTTAATATAATTACTGTAAGGCATAATCAATTCAAAACTGGAAAATAAAAGTGATCTTATCTTGGTATTATATATTAAGTCTTTATACACTGGTTTGTAAACCTGTGTATGGTTCTGTCTGGCTAGATATTTCCTAGTGTTTAAATTTTAATTTCTAAAGACTCAAAGTATGTATGTCACTTTAAAAAAAAGGCTTGCAGTATCATGATATTTTTGAAGTATGTTGCCCAAAAAATGTTTTTCCTTTAAATATCAAACTCATATAAATCATACAGAATTTAGATATGCAGACCTCAAAGAGAACAAACCATATTACCATTACAAATGTAAGTACAGTCTTGAAGAAGACTTTGCTGTTTGTTACGACAACCAAGCGGAAACTATAAATTGACCGTTGGAGTGATAATTTAAAGATACAAACAGTAATGCAAGTGGTATGTGTAATTATCACTGACCTATAAGGATTAAAGGTTATTATTAGAATATTACTTTATATGTAGTAAATACTTACATTTTATATCTCTAGCTTTGCACTTCAAGATCCCTTTGATGGCAATAGCAATACACTATGAAACTCAATGTGAAATGTTGCTGTTTTTTTTGCATTTCCACCAAAGGTACCTTGAACTGCAAAACTTAATTTAAAGGGCTGAATTAAGGAAAATATTTTTGCATAATATTAAATTATTACTGTAGGTTTAATCATTTGCCATTATTGACTTTTCATGTTTGTTTTAGATAGCCGATATTAAAAAGGATATAGAATTAATGTCACTTTATCAGAAGCTGAAGGAATTCAAACCCAGAGGAAACCTATCACTGCATGATGCAGTGGCTCAGGTGAAGAGTAACCTTAAAAATGGGGATGAGAACAAGAACAAGTTGATGGAAATTGTACCTGCATCTCAACTTCTTACTAAGAATGATACTCATAGATCAAAACAAGTGCTTAATAAGGTGGCAAAGAATAAAAGATGTCCTAGAAAAATATCAAGTTTAAATGTGGATTCTTTGTCACAGCAGTGTATAGAATCTTATTTCAAAAAGGTTGAATCTGGTTGTTCAGAAGTTGATAGTGGGAAGTCTACTGAAGAAAGTACATTGACTGATTACAAGGAGAGTGATGGTTCTAGTAATATTAGCTCAAGTGAAAGCAGTAGTAGACAGTCTCTTCGAAACATTCCTTTCATGGCAGAAGATGTGGATGGTTCCGACTCTACACAAGAATTTGACTGTGAAGAATACAATGAAGAGGAAATAT